TAAATGTGAGCCCCATTTACCTACTGAATCAGAAACTGAGGTGGAGATCTTTTTTTAATGGATCTTTCAAATAATTCTGATGCACACTAAAGTTTAAAAGAATGCTTTGCACAACTCAACCGCCTTACAAGAAGAATGAAATTATTTGGCATTTTTTGTCTAATTCCTTTTTTTTTTTTGGTTTTTACGAGAGGGTTTCTCTGTATTGTTTTGGAGGCTGTCGGTCCAGCCCAGCCTCGAACTCACAGAGATCCGCCTGCCTCTGCCTCCCGAGTGCTGGAATTAAAGGCGTGCAACACCACCGCCTGGCTTTTGTCTAATTTCTAAAGTCAGAAAATCCACACTCAGAAAGTCACTTAACCTCCACAGGATTCCTTTTCTTTTCTTTTTGGCTTTTGGACACAGGGTTTCTCTGTGTAGCTTTGGCTGTCTTGGAACTCATTCCATAGACCAGGCTGGCCTCAAACCTGGAGATCTGCCTGCCTCTGCCTCACAAATGCTGGGATTAAAGGCAGTTCCAGATTTTTACCATCTAAATAGCATAGTTGCCTTTCCTTACCACCACTCCAAGAAGTAAATTGTCATTATCACCATAATCCCTAACTGAACTTTAAAAGTCTATCAAAGATGTGAACAGATTTCTATAATCTCTAGGTATTTGTAGAAAAAAAATCTGTGAGACTGAGGTGTGAGAAATGGCTCAGTGGTAAGAGGGCTTGCTTTACAAGTCTGAGGACCTTAGGACACAGATCCTAGTACCCACGTAAAAGTCAGGTGTGGCTGGTGACCCCAGTCCTGTGAGGAGCAAAGGCAGCAAGATCACTGGGGCTTCCTAGCCACCAGTTTAACTCAAGGTTCAGTAAGAAACTGTCTTAAGGGAATAAAATAGAGAAAGATACAGCAAAAAACTTAATGTCCTCCTCTAACTTCTGTGGGTTCACAAGCATATGCTCATACTCATAATCGTACAACACACACACCAGGTCTGCATGATTAACTATTGTAAGCAATCATGAAAACTCCACAATACTTAGTAATTTCCAATTGAGCTAAAGTAAAAACTTAAGAGTACAGTGAGCATGTACTGAGTTAGGGTGTACTGAGCAGCAAGAGCTGCCAGCCACCCATGAAGGATCTGGTTTTCAGCTAGGCTCCTTGTTCACTGGCAGCCCACAGAAAGAAGCAGAAGAGAATTTTAAAACTGGATGCTTTTATAAAACTAGTGTCAGATGTATAAACAAAACCAGAATATACCTTAGAAACATGATTAAAGACAGATTTGACCCATAAACCCATAAACATTTATAAGTTTAAAGTTTTTAAGTTTCAGGTGGGTGGTGGTGGTGCATGCCTTTAGTCCCAGCAGTCAGGAGACAGAGGCAGACTGATCTCTGAGTCCAAAGCCAGCCTCGTTTACAGAGCAAGTTCCAGATAGAATCCCTATCTCAAAAAACAAAAAAAGAAAAAAACAAATAATTTAAGTGTACAAGTAACTGGTACTAAACATACACATAACAAGGTATCAGAAACAGGTTTTAGATGACTATATAACAACCCTGGCAGATACCCACATTATAATGTTAGGGCAGGGGAGGTCACAAAATGGTATTTATGATATAATCCTAACCTATAAAAACATACACTATAAATAAAAAGACAAGAATTAATACAATAGCAACAAAATAAACAGTGGATTGTACCCAACATCCCAGATGATTTTTTTTATTTCCTTCTAGTGTGTTCTATTAAGGACATGTCTCACCTATACAATCAGAAAAAATCATTTTTTTCCACATGGCAGTCTTAACTTGCAATCCCTCTTCCTCAGTCTCCAAAGTAGCTATAATTACAGGTCTGTGTCCCAAGGTCCAGTTTAAAAATATTCTTTTAAAAATATGGGTTGGGGCTGATGAGATGGCTCAGCAGGTGGTATTTGTCACCAAGCCTAGCAATCTGAGTGCATTCCTGGTCTCACGTGGTGGAAGGAGAAAATTGACTCCTGCAAATTGTCTTCTGACCTCCACATGTATATCATGCCACCTGTGTGCACACACAAGCCTATGTACGTACACACGTACACACACACACACACACACACACACACACACACACAAAACAAGGTAATTTTAAAATCTAACTTTCAAGAATTAGAGTGATGGCTCAGTGGGTAAGGAATGTTTGCTATGAAATCAAGAGGACCTAAGTTTAAATCCCCCAAGCCAACATAAAACTGAGCATAGCCACAAGTTGTATTACCCTAAAACTGAGGGGAAACAGACAAGTGGATTTCTGGAGCTCACTAGTCAGCTAGCCTAACCCAAGTTCTAGGTTTACTGTGAAAAAGAAGGTGGAGAACAAGAAAACATACCTGACATCCTCTTCAAGCCTCTGCATGTGCACAAATGGATGAATATACACCATGCTCACAGGAGCACACTCTTACAACGCTAACTTTCAGGCTGGGGAGAAGGTTCAATGAGCAAAATGCTTACTAGACAAACATGAGGAACTCAGTTCAATCTCCAGAAGATAAGTAAAAAAGTTTGGAGTACATGTAATCCCAGTAGGGGGAGACAGAAATGGGAAGATTCCTGGGGCTCTCTGGTCAGCCAGCCTAGCCTACTTATAAAGTACCAGGCCAGTGGGAAACCCTATCTCGAAAAAAAACAAGGTGGTGGCTCCTAAGAAAAGAAGCCTGAGATTGACCTCTGCCCCCCCACAGACACAGACACACACAGACACACACACACACACACACACAGACACACACACACACGGAGAAAAAAATAAAACTTTCAGACCTGGGTATAGATAAAATAATTTATAGAATGTCAGTTATGGAGTCAGACACAGAGTAAGTACTTAGGAAGCATTCATCCCTGTTCTCTGCTCCCAGATCTCTATACTGTGAGCAAAAGTTGTTTTTCCAGATATTGAACTTACACACTTACTACACAGTCCAAAGGGCCACAGTGCAGTAGCTTTTTTCATGAAGACTCCTTCATTTATTCAAAATATACTCACCATCTATTCTGTGTTTAGCATAGAAATACTAAAGGTAAAAAGATAACTATATTCCCAGGCAGAGACACATACATAGTATAACTGTAAGATGAAATAATTATTTTTTTTAATAAAAATGTATACAAAGGACAATAGGAACCCAGAGAAAGAAAGCATTTTATAAAGAAGTATTCTGTGAGCTAAACGGGAATAGCATCAAAGGGAATAGTATGTACAAAAACAAAAGCATAAAGGAGGATAGTGTCCCAGAGTTGGAGATAATTTAGCTTTGCAGGGTCATAAAAAACAAGGCTGGCATAGGAGCTCACACTTTTAATCCTCATACTTGAGAAGTAGAGGCATGTGGAGTTCTGTGAAGCCAAGGCCAGCCTGACTTACATTTCAAGCTTCAGACCAGCCAGGCTAAGTAGTGAGACCCTGTATGCAAGAACAGGGGGTAGTAAGTATGACAGGAAACTAGATTAAGTAAGTCTGTCTATCACAGAAAAAATCCTAAATTCTACTCTGTAGGGTAACCATTGAGAGAATAATTTAACCTGAGGAGTGATACCTGATCAACACTGTTAAAAACAACCAGAGACATTGACTTCTTTTGGGTGTGTGTGATACTGGGAACTGAACTCAGTCTCTTACACGTGCTAGATAAGAGCTTACCACTAACATATCCCAAGCTCTTTACATTATTTTCATTTTGAGACAGAATCTTGCTAAATTGCCCATGCTAGCCTTGAACATGAGACCCATTGGCCTCAGCCAGTAAATTATATAGGATTGCAAATTAGACAGGACTTCCTTCAAGAAGCTGGGATTAGAAGTATGTGCCACCATGCCTGGCTATGAAAGATTTTTTTTTGAGACAAGATCCCAAGCAGGCACAGAACTACTATGTCACTCCCATGTAATGATATTACAAGCATATGCCATCACACCCAGTTTATGCAGTGGTGGGGACTGAACTCAGATCTTCCAGTGTGCCAGACAAGCATTTTACCAACCGCACTACATTCCCCAGCCCTTATGAAAGACATCTTAATTTCCACATTTCTAGAGTGAAGGAAAAGATCTCACCATAAGTTTGTCCCCATTACACAAAATAACAAGGCAGAACATAGAACTTGGTACCAGGCACATAATAATCAGTAAAAGTCAATTAAATGTGAACTTGGATGTACTGCACCAAGGCAGTCCCAGCATAGGTCAGAATTTTGGTAACACCAGTACCTTTACTTTGCTTTTGAGCATAATAGGAATAGCTCCTCTGAAAGTTAAGGTGACAATTAAAAATTCTAGACTCTAATATATAGCAGAAGGGTACCATATACTGATTTTATTATACTGCAGTGTGTAAATCCTCCCAGTAATAGGATAAAATTATGATTTTTTATAACATACACTAACCTCACTAGAAATGGATGACAGGTGCATTCTATTCCTTCTGTTGTTTTACCCTGTATCTTTGAAATTTAATTTTGTTAGATGGTCCTGCAGACAGCACAGAAATAAAATACTTTTCCAGTTCTTCCTCCATTAATTGAATGCATGCAAACTGCTTTACAGCTATGAAAGGGGTATTGATTTGTAAGGGAGGCTCACAGAAGCAAAAGCAACTAACTGGTCCAAGGCCACTGATAGCAAGTTACAAAAGAAGCCCATGTTCTTGGACTCGGATATCTCAAAAATGCAGTACTGCCTCCCCCAAAGTCAGCATATGAGGGAAAACACAACAGCCAGGATACTAAACTGATACTTTCTTTGTGGCTTGATGGCAGCTACAAAATCAAATATGCATGCAAGGCCCTAGACTGCAAGGAGGGATAGCAAAACCTAAGTCTGGTAGTGGGGAACTGAAAGTAAATTGAGGGAGGGCTTAGCTTCCGAGCAAGAGTAGAAAACCAGGCTGAGAGGAGAGGGCAAGTGAATAAATACACAACACACTTGGCCGGTGCACCCTGACCAGCCTGGCCAGCCCTTCTTACCTGCCGTGAAACCAATCCTGGCACATGTCACACTCGATCATGAAGCGAGTCACATCATAAGGCAGTCGGCAGAGGCAATACACAGGCACCGAGGCCATCTTCACTGGGGGGTGGGTCGCTTTGCGTCGTGCCAGGTTTAGGGCTTTAAGAGGGTCAGAAGGCAGCAGCAAGCGCCTTCCCTAGACGAAGGCTGAACACAAACAACACTTGTTACAAAGTGAATCCAGCCCGGGTTTCCAAATCGTCCCGTGTCCCCGCCCCCACCCCACCCCCTGGGTACCAACCTCCAGTTCTGAAATAGGGAGTAACCAAGCCAGGACTCAACACAGCTGGTAAGAGTGCAAAGAGGTTAAGTGAGAAAGTCCACCCACCCTTCAGAATTTTTCACTTGGAAAGAACAGAAAGAACCTACTGCGCTCTGCTCTGTTCTGCCCTCCCTTGCCTTCCCCAAACGCCCTCCTCAGCCCTCTACCTTCTTTGGCCCTGAAGTCAGTGACAACTTCTTTCCGGGTTCCATGTAAATATCTGAAAGCTTTCGGGAAGCTTCTTCAATCCCTCACTGAACCCTCTCTTCGCTGCCCTCTTGCTTCCCAGGACTCCCAGCCCCTTTTTATTATGACGCAAACCACGACATAAAGGATGAGGCTGGGAAGAGGGAGGCTGACGGAGAGACCCTCTCTAGCTCCCCAAATAGGAAGCACCAGATATGTGGAAAGCCCTGAAAGCCTGCGCAGGGTATTCCAAAATTACCCCCAAAGCCCTCAGGAAGAAGACAAACGAGACGAGGCACCCAACTCAAATCACAGTTCTGGGGTTGCGTCTGGAGAGTTTAAATGCTCCTTTTCGTCATTCTCAGTATCATTCCTTCCCGAGCGGTAAGGAGTCTCACTGTGCTCCAAAATGAAATTAATCGCAATTTTGTCGTCTACTTCAAAGCTGACAGGAATCTCATCTCACCCCTGACACTAAAAAGGATCTCTTTGAAGCCCCAGTAAACTGACTACAATTTCCTCATACCCGGGAAACTAAGCAAAGATTTTGTTTTGCACCGCTTCCAAATGGCAGGCATTTCCTTGCAGTCCCCCTCAGACTGCCGAGAGCTCTGCCGTACCCCTCAGCTGACAGAGGTTTCATCTTAGCCAAGACGATCTTGCCTGTAGCCCCCCCAAACTTACGAGGATCTCTTTACGCCTCCCCGACTGACAGGAACCTTTTCACGCCCCAAACCTGATAAGAATGTCCTCGGTCCCAAACCCTACAGGAACCTCTTCATGTCCAAGGCTGCAGGGAGTGAGTCCTCAAGACGCAGCGCTCAGCCCCAGAGACTCAACAGCGGCTGGGCTCGCTCCCGGGCAACACAGCGTTACGCTAAGCGGAGGCTGTCCGGGCAGTTCCGGCCCCAGAGGCAGCGCGCGAGGGATTGTGGGATTGCCGCTGTAAACCTGTGAACCTTACTTGCCTTCTCCTGGAAACCACATGCCGCGTCACGCAGTGCCTGGAGTCTGACGGGGCTTTAGGGCAACGTTCGGCACAGCGCTCCCACAGCCTGGCCGGTCAGGGACTTCCAGCGACCGAGGCCAAATCCGGGGGGGAGGGAGGGGGGGTCCGCCGGGCCAACTGGCAAGTGGCTTTGTCGCTGGGTCGTCAGGCAGTAGCCTTGAGCCGATGAACCAGTCGCCGGGTCTGGGATCGACTGCCAGAGAAGCCGCCAGTAGAACTCAGTAATAGCGGGCAGGAATTTCACCGCAGTCAATAAAGTTTATTCAAAATAACGAGGAAGTTGAGGCGGAGAGGGGAGGAGAAATATGGTAAACAGCTACCATATTGAGAGTGGCGGCATTCTGCGAGGAGACAGGCTCGCCGCCATCTTATGAGACCCGGGCACGCGAGGTGAAGGTGGAGCCCAGAACGTCAAGCCGGCGGCTCTCGCGTGACGTCATGGGGCGGGGCGACACCTTGAGAAAGAGGGGCGGTGCCCAGTAAACCCTAGGACGCGCTGCCTCTTCTAGGTGGCCCAATGGCCGCTCGAGACCTTGAGCTGATAGGCGGAGAAGCCGCCATCTTAGGCGAGGCGGTAGTTTGGCTCCATTTTGAGTGGGGCCTGGAACCCAAATCTTCCCTACCCCCGGGCAGACTGGGAGTTAAAGAAACTCGGCACCTTCCTCCTCTCTCCCTCCCTCCTAACACAAACTGCTCCTCCCTAGTCTCCTCCTATGAGGGGAGGTGAACTCTGACCACAAACTGCAAAACTGATAGGGAGGGCTACGGGGGCGTACTCCAGCCTGGGAAGGGGCGGAATACTCCCTGCAGCTCCCGTCCACGGAGCGCTGTTAGCGGGCGAGGTCTTTTTCCCGTGGCCGGTGCATCGTTTAATTTTCACTCTGTGAGAGGAAAATCTGTGATTACAAGCGAATGAACAAACAGGTTGAGAGAAGGCAAGTGATTTGAGAGCGTGAAAAGTGAAAACGGCTTCCAATTTCCCCCCACATTGAGTTGTCAGTCTTCCTTTCTCTTCCAAGCTCTCTTCACCGACCCTGCAGGTTCAATTCCATAAGGAGCAAATACAGTTCAAGGATTTCCATACATCTGTACCAGGATTTTCTGACTGAATGTAGTATATTTCAAGATGGCGCTGTTTTCTTTCTTTTTTTCCCCTCAAACATTAAATAGCTCTAGTTCTTTTACTGTTACCACTTTCCTGGAGGATCTCGTTACTTTATAAAACAATGTTAAAAAAGGAAAAGTGGGGTGGAAAAGAGAATGTATACAATGATTTTTCTGACTGGTAAGCAGAAATATAAAGAAAAAAAGGACCTCATAAGTGAAAAATAATTTTTCTTTACTTGTTTCCCCCATTTCTCCTCTCCACTTCAGCCCCGGGTTCTTGGGTGTTGTGATTACCAGCTGGTGGGGTAAAAAAGTCTGAGAGGACAGGGCAGGAGAATCACAAGTTTAAGATGAAAGGAAAGAGTGGAGAAAAAAAAAAGAGTAAAATAAGCTAAGAGCCTCAAAGGCTGCTTGCTGTTGTAAGATGTACTTCGGGCAGACTAAGAGGATGTATAGAGTCACTAAGGCACAAGATGCACCTCGGCTGGTAGAATACTTGCTTAGCATACACAAAGCCCCAATATTCAATCCCCAGCACTGCATAAACCTAGTAGCTTTTGTACTCAGGAAGATCAGAAGTCCAAAGTCATCCTTAGGTAAGTAAGTTCCAGCCCAGCCTCAGATACATGAGATCACTGATCAAAAATTTTTAATAACATTGTACACAAAAATAAGGTGCACAAACGCATAGAGACACACGAGGAGTCAGACTGTAAGGAATTAGGTCAAGAGATACTACAATACAAAAATGCAAAAGTTTAGCTGGGCGGTGGTGGCGCACGCCTTTAATCTCAGCACTCGGGAGGCAGAGGCAGGCGGATCTCTGTGAGTTCGAGGCCGGGCTGGACCGATAGCCTTCAAAACAATACAGAGAAACCCTGTCTCGTAAAAACCAAAATAAAAAAAATAATGCAAAAGTTTTTATTGTATTCTTTAATAAGAAACTACTGACTGTTTTAAAATGTGTGTGTGTGTGTGTGTGTGTGTGTGTAAGTGCTTGAGTGTATATATGTGAAGCACATGTGTGCAGGACTATGCGAAGGTCAAAAGTGGGCACTGGGTCCCCTGGAACTTGGGTTATAGGAGAATATGAATTGCCATGGTTCCTGGCAATTGAACCTGGATTCTCTGCAAGAGCAGTAAGCACTCTTAACCACTAAACCTTCTCTCTAGTAACTGAGTCCTATTTGCCTTAGCCAGAGTAGTGTGCAATTTTATTGACACCTGAAGCTTATATACTTTTGATGAAGGAACTGGAGGACTTCCTTAGAAAAGACTATAGGCCAATAAGTACTAAAGTTAGCTTCAAAGATGTGCAATTAGAATATTTTTAGAAATAAATTCGGCATATGGCAATAACTGTGACTAGAAATGATACAAACTACATATAAATGTCCTGTGAGACACAAACTAAAGGTAACTCCCAAATGAACTTATTAGGAACTTATTAGGGGAACCTAAATTTTTTTTCTTTTGTTTGTTTGTTTAGAGACAGGGTTTCAATTTGTAGCTCTGGCTGTCCTGAAATTCAGAAATCTGCCTGCCTCTATAGACTCCCGAGTGCTGTGATTAAGGGTGTGAACCACTATGCTCAGCTGAGCCTCAAAAATTCTAAGATAGCTCTAATACCCCCTAACATAAGTAAAACTGTGACGAGGCACTCCGTGGAAACAAGCAGCAGTTTAAATCAAGTGTAGACTTTATAAAACATATTAGTATGTGACAGTATAGCAAGGAGACAATACTTGCAGCTTAAACTTTTTTAACTTTACAAAGAATCAGAAAGGACGATAATGTTGTACTGGGCTGGGGAAAAAAGAAAGGGAGATCAAGAGAGTGGATGGGGCCAGAAAGTCATCTGGTAATCCGGATATTTGGGAGGCTGAATACGCAGACCTTTAAGACTAATCCAAAATTTAGGTGAATGAGGGAAAATATGAGCTAATTTCTAAGTTGAGTGTCAGAGTATATGATGGTACCACTGGCTGAGCCAGGGTATACAGGAAAACAGCTTTTGTGGGGAAGAATAAAATGGAGTTTTAGCTTAGAGTATGTTACAGCATATATGTGGGACAATATAACTCCCCAATGATTGTACTCCCCCTATTTTCAACCCTTCTTTCATTCTTCTTTTGTTTGGGTTTTTTTTTTGACACAGGGTTTCATTGTATAACTATGATGGCTTCACAATCCCTATGTAGCCCAGGCTAGCTTCTAACTCATGCTCCTACTTTCCATCAAGTATTGTTGTAGGACATAGCCAACAATTGTTTATTAACCAGCACCAGGCACTGTACTGGGTGCTGTGAATGTTAGTGAATAATAAAATAAAAGTTGCCTCGTGTTTATTGTGTACCTGCTGTTCTAGACACCAGGGATTCTGGAATGAATAAAACAGACAAGATCCATGTCCTCTTGTGACTAACATTCCAGTAAAGGAAACAGACAATAGAGTCAAGACAGTTTCTAAGTGTAGTCTATGCTATCAGGAAAACGGGACAAGTTACAAACTAGAGAATGATCCAGAAAGAAAGCTACTTTACATAGTGTAGCCAAGGACGGCATCTTTAATAAGAGCCAGCTAAGAACAAGATCTAAAGGCTCTAAAATGGTAGTGGGAAGACCTGGTGCGGTACAGCTACAGATTAGCGTAGAATCTGTAGACACGAATACTATACATGTACTGTTCAGGAGTGAGGTGGAGCAGCATTAACAAAATAAAGCGTAAAATATGGCAAAGCCTAAGTGCCACCTAGAGGTGTGAGTAACCTGTGTGATAACAAAGAGCCACAGTTAACTTACAGTGGCATGCAATGCCACTCCCCAGAAAATTCCTCTGCATTGTTCTTGAGAAGTGGGAAGGGGAAGCTAAACGATATGGTGAAAGGCCTAATTGTAAGAAACTGAACCCAAGGCAAGTCTGAGTTACTGACAAAGGACTCTTGTCATTGTCAAAGATGGGAGACAGTGCCTGCTGCTGCTCCGGAAGTGTGTGGTCTGGTCTCTCTCAAAATATAGTATGTGATCTGAGTTGGCTCTCATAGCCCAAGGTTGCTCTGGAAGCCTTCCTCCCACACATGCATGTCCACTAAACACTTCTAAGCATTTAACCAGACAGATAATCAATGCATTCAATCAGATAACCACTGTTAACCTGGGTGATTCATACATCCACTAATACCCTGCTATCGAGATTCTCACAGGCATCTTTCCAACTCATTTCTCTTCATAAATGTACATCTAACTGTTGAGACAAAAAAGTGATGAGAGCTAAAGAGAACTACAGCATACATGAAAAGAGACAGGGATAAAATGGGGGAAAAGAAAAGAATAAGATAAGAAAGACTGGTTTATTTCAAAACAGACTTAAAAACACGATGAATACAAAAGAGCAAATAATGACATTAGCTGAGAATTACTGTGATTAGCACTGCTCCGACAATAGGCTTGCAAGTAGCCCAGTAGGGTGGTACTGTCTGTCCTGTAACCCCAGCTTCTTAGGAGGCTGATGAAGGAGGGCTATATGTTTAAGACCTAACAGAGTGAATTTAAGGCCACCTGGGACAACGTAGTGAGACCCTGTCTCAGAACTATTTTTATTTTATATTATAAACATTGGTGTTTTGCCTGTATGCATGTCTGTATGAAGAGGTCATCCCCTGGAACTGGAGTTACAAACAGTTGTGAACTGCCATGTGGGTGTTGCGAATTGAACCGGGGTCCTCTGGAAGCACCTCGAAACTATTTTTTGGTATCAGGGTCTCTCTATGTAGCCCTGGCTGTCCTGAAACTCCC